GAGTATGCATTCCCAGGGTAGAGTTAATCAAAGGGCATCTTCCCAGGAGCAGGCCTGCACCTACAATAGTCTGTCTCACATCTATGACTGCGACCAAACCAGCAGCTCAAACAGATGGTTCTGGGGTTTTCTTGGAGAAAAATAAGATTGAAATCAATGCTTAGTTAGAATGCTAACAGCCACATAGGAAACACTGGTCTTGGACCCATGTTTTACATTTTTTAAATTCTTGGCATAAAGAGATTTTACTTTTCGGGCCTCCCCTGGTGGCGCAGTGGTTGAGCGCTGGGCTGCGAAGCTGCCCCCAGCCTCTGTAGCACCAGTTTGATCCCCGGCAACTGGCGAGGGTCCCACATGGCGCGACAGAGCTCTCCTGCCGTGCTCGCTGCTCCCCACAGCAGTGTATTTTGTCAGTCTGCCTGTTCTGTTCCCCGCTCTGGCTCTGGTGAATTCTCTCACCCTCCTGTGCTTCTGACTGTACCCCATGCTTGTATAAATAAATAAATCTTAAAAAAAAAAGAGAGATTTTACTTTTCAAAGTGCATGTGTGAATATATTACTTTAATAATGACTCGAATCTTCCCCTAAGGCTTTCATCCCGGCTTCCCATTTACCTGAACCAGGAAGACCACCAGCTGTGTTCAGTGGGGGGGAACTAGAGATAACGTGACCATCAGGGCTTGTCCTAGTGTGGCCCATTGGGGCTCTGGCCCCCTGTTGCAAGCAGAGACTAGCTGAGAGGCTGGCAGAACAAATTTGCAAAAATGTGGTCATTCTCTCGGCACCAGCGTCAGCAGGCATGTGACAAGTGTGGCCTGCATCCCAACTTGGGAGCACCACACAGGAGCACATCTCTGAGGAGGAAGGATCACTCAGGACAGAGGCTTTCAGCACAGAGGGCGCACACAGAAGGAAGCTCCTCACCTCAGGGCTGCAGCTGGGGCAGAGGTATAGCGTGAGCCCTAGTAGAAGGCTGGAAGGAGCAGAAGCGGGAGAATGAAGAAGGCCAGCTGTGGCGCCAAGTCTAGCAGGGAACCCACCTGGGGCCCCGTGGTGGGGCAGGTATAGGAGCTGGAGAAGCCAGCAAGGCTGCCTGGAGCCACACATCTGCCCTGTCTCAGAGCCCCACCCTCATAGCCCTCCCAGCATTAAAGAAGGAGACACTTCCTCCCTCAAACAGTGAATGAGGCTCTCAGGCAGAGTACCCCTGGAGTCCTAACCTCTCTAACCACCCTAAGACCCCTTAGGCCAAAGTACTGGGCCTCTTCCTGGGTTTGTCGGCAACCCTGAAGGTTGAGGGCTCCAGCTTCCTGAGAGCTAACGCTCTATAGTGGACCCCGAGGATAAGGCCATAGGCCCACTGTCTGGCCCCAGTGTTCAGAGGCTAAGGCTCAGCTTTTGGCACAGCTTTCTTCAACTGGGCAGAAACAGTGTGGGTAGATTTAGGTAGAGCTTCCGGAGAAGCAGGGCATGGGGAGCAGCAATGAGAATGAGGCACTGATGCATGAAGTTCAGGACATGTTAGGGAACAAGGAATGATCAGGCTGGGCTTTGGGGTCTCAGTGCAGGGGCTCACATTTCCAGGTTCATGGTCAGTGACCAAGGTCCATACTCAGAAGGGCTTCGCATTTGGGGCTTAATGTTCTGTGGTAACCATCTTGGAATGCTTCACCATTTAACTTTTGAATTTGTGCTTTGTAAGTAAAGTCTGATAGAATAGTGAGATCTTGACTTACACCTGCCCCAGATCCTCAGGACAAGTTTTCAGCCTCCCACAGTGATCCTCTGATCATGACCATCCTCTGCCCACAACAGGGCCCAGATACAGGTGCAGGTGGGCACCTATGCCCAGCAGCAGTGGCCACCACACCCAGGCAGGCAACCCCACACAGGTCTGAGGCTGTGTCTTAGGGGCTGAACCACTTATGCACCCCAACCCCAGTACTGGGGTGTAAAGATGCTTGTCCATCTGCCCTGGCTTGGGCAGTGGGCCCCCGGGAAGGGACACACCAGACTCAACAACGCCAGAGCCTCCAGGCCAATTCTTGCAGCAGCTGTTGAGTACCACAGGGTGCGCTCCAATTTCTGACTTGGACCCGAGGTCCCCAAATGGGCATTTTTCCTGTTTGTTAAGCAAGAGAGCTGAATTTCATCTGCATTGGCCCCAGGAGTTTTTTTCTCAAGGGATATTCTGGGTGTAGGGCTGTAGTGGCTGAAAGCAATATGGCAAAAATGATCAGTGGGTCAAGGGGCTGGAGTTTGGGAAATGATGCTGCTGACAGTGGGCCATGGGAGTCAGAGCCTGGGACAGCCTAAGCAAAGGCCCAGAAGATGAGCCTCAGAGGACACAAAGTGCTAGACAACGTCATTCAAGGGACAAACCAGGGAGGGAACACCTCAGGATATGACTGCACACAAAAATGTAAGCCTCTGAAAACCACCCTAATCAAAACAAAACAAAAGGCAAACAAGTGGGGGAAATATTCCCCACACATGTGACAGACAGAAAGGTAATTTATTTTAATACAAAGTTTCTTGAAATGATCAAAAGAGAAGCTGAAATCCTAGCTGGAAAAAAAAAAAAAAGACATGAGTAGGCCCAATAATAAAAACATCAGATGATCACTGTTTTAAAATACGTTTTAAAAATGCAGCTTCACAGGAATCTAGAAAACTTAAATAAGGGACCAGGAAAATGAATAACTATAAGAAAGTGAAAATCAAAATCAACAAAAAACTATGAACCAGAGACACTTTTAGGGGGGCGGGGGCGGGAGGGGAGGGATTGGGGTCAGAATGGGGGGGCTGCAATTGTATGGGGAATATAAAAATAAAATTTATTATTTAAAAAAAAATGCAGCTTCACAGCCATCAAATAAATACAACTTACAACAAAGAGTCTATCCCAGTTGTACCACAGCTGAAAGGGACCGAGTGGAGTGTTTGTATGGGGAAGAGAGGGTGTAGGTAGGTATCTGCTCAGTGTAACATGAATAGGCAAAACTGTCATAAAGAACATTCTGAAACAGAAAGTTCTAAAATGCACCTACCAGTTGAGCAGGCACCGCATTTTTAGGAACTAAGTTTAAGGAGATAGTGAAGGATGAGGGATAGATTCAGCTATAAGGATGTTCATTACTGATCTGATCTTAATAACAAAATTAATTTTGTTATATGAATACATTATATAAATCATCGGTTCCATTACAAATGTGCTCCATCACATGGTGCAATGTTATGTCACGCGAATCCCTGAAAACTGTGAAACCTTCCACTGGTAATGGAAAGGTCCTAAGGCATGTCTGAAGTGGGCACATTTGAAAGATTACGGAAGGACCCAGGTGGCTCTTATGATGTTCAGAGAGCACCTCCAGAGAGTCTGAGATGGAGAGAGGCACATATTAATTCCCTTATTCCTATGAACAAAGGGAATAAAACATCTTAGCCATTAACATTAGAAAGATGTGGCACCTTTAGCATTATTATCCCACTGCCTTAGAGTCATATCCACGTCTCTCTCCACATCTAGGGATTAGTGTTCCTTGATTCACTTCACCCCTACAACTTGGTCCCCTAGGTCTCCATACCAGTCTTTTTGCACTTTCTTCCAAATTGCCTACCTCATTCCTGCCTCAGGACCTTTGCACAGCCTGTGCCCCAAGACTGGAACACTCTAGCCTATGTTTTCCAGTCATCCATATTAGCCAAGCCTCAGTTCTGAAGTGACTCTCTAACAGCCTCTCCAACCTCCAATTTAAAGTGGACCCTACCCCAGCCCTTCGCCCCTCTCCTTCTCACTATGTCCTTTCTTTCATTTAATTTATCATTGTCTGAAAGAATTTCATTTGAGTAAATGTAGAATAAACATTTGTTATGTATGGACGAGACAGGACTGGCTGTACTTAGTAACATACCAATGACTTACCTAAAGCAGGTCAAAAAGAAGATGGCAGGCAGGCAAGGGCATTTCTGTCCAATACTCCCCTTTGTCCCAGATCTATTTCTGCACAAATGCCCTGGATTTGCTGGGAGAGTGGGGGGGAAGTTGGAGGGAACAACTTTGTTCCCAGGGACTCACCATATGGCACAGAGAAGCGGAGCTCAGCAAGAGGTCGAGTAGATGTCCTGTTCCCCACTGCTCATCTCCAACTGAACCTCTAGAAGAGCCTGTTGACTATCAACTGGGGTGCACAACCCTACTACTTTAGGACTACCCAGTTCGCAAGTTTCCCTGCCCACCTCCAGTCCTCTACAAGTCTGGTTCCCTTCCCCCGCAATGCTCAGCCCACAGAGCCTGGCGATCCCAGGACCAGCACGTACTCAGTGTCCTCTAACCTTCTGCAGGGGTGAGGGGATGGGCCTGGAAAGGGGGGGTTTAATCTCTCAGGATTGTGTAGACAAGGGAAAGGTGACCCGGGTGCCCCCAGAAAATTAGGTGGCATACAGACACCCCATTATATAACCCTACCTTACAGGGGGAAATGGATCCCCTCTTCAATCTTCAATTCCTTTGAGCACCTTGAGGAGGAGGCTCAGGTGGGTGCCGCTCGCTATGGCCCCTCCCTGACACAGTCTAATCTCCCTTTTTTCTCTTTAGCAGATTGGGCCATGGTTCCATGTTGACCTGAGAGATGGCAGGGCCATCTAGCTTGAGTTGAATAACATCGTTTTGCATTTTATTTTGGGATACTTTACACACAGTAATGTTTCCTTTGTAAATAATGTTAAGTTTTAAAAAAGTCGGTTGGTTTACAGGAAGATACACAGTCCAGGTACAGTGTGGGTCTGGAACACAAATGACAAGCTTGAGAAAGACTAGCTTAGCATGGGAACAGTCTTGCCAAGTCAGAATGGCCCTCATTTGCAGGTGGGAAAAGTGAGGTTCACTGAAGTTGGTGGAGAGTAGCATCTCCCTGTCCCAAAGTCAACCAAGCCCCTTATCCCTCCACTGGGAAAGCCCAGAGTGGGGTCCCTCTGCCCGCAACCCCCCACACACTTACGATGTTCATGAGCGTGAGCAGGTACTTCTGCACGTGCTCCTTTCCGTGGAACTGCACCACAGAGTCATCCACGCCCAGCAGGACCTCTATGTTGTAGTCGTCCTCAGCGGTGTGCCTGCGGGTCCTGCGCCCCGAGCTGTTGACACGCTCCTCCAGGACGCCCAGGGCTCGGCTGAGGCGGTCCAGGCTGCCAGGGTAGGCCCCTGTAAGGACAGAGGACATGGTCTGCAGCAGCAGCTGCAGGGTCCGACTCACCAGAGACGTCAAAGCAGGACAAAATCCCACTCGGCTGCAACTCAGTACCTGCCAATACCAGGCGTGACAATCCTCTCAGGGAAAACTCACACACTTCTCTCCATTTTACAGAACAAACTGAGGGGCAGAGAGGACAGCAGTAGTGCACCAAGCTGACTCAGACCCAGAAGCATACAAACCAGTACCTGGGCCAACTGCAGAGTCCAGGCCTGGCACCCAGCAATCAGGGAAGCAGTGGGTGTGGGCAGAGCCAGATCCTTGTGCTCATTCGTATTCCCACACACCCACTTGCTCCTGTAGGGCTGCCTAATGCCGGAGAGCTTTTCTCCCACATGTGGGTGCCTGTCATAACCGGCCCGGGTCCTATTCTCCTTGGCATTCTTCAGGTGGGTCTCAGAGATGCCTGGTCTGGGAATGACCTAAAACCTCAGGTCATCGTGAGATCACCAACCCAGGGGGTAGTGTTCAAGCCCTGCAGTCCCCAAAGCTGAGGTGGGGCGGGATTCTGGGTCAACTGTCAATGCCCCTGCACTGCCTCCTCTCTTCAAAGAGTCTTCCAGAGTGGCTCTTACTCATTCCCAAAGCCTCTTGTCTGCTGCTTTCTCTATACAGGGATGGGAACTCCCTCAGTATAAAGGTGGCACAAGACAGACCCTAGGAGATCAGCGCTTCCGAAAGATTGTGGCAGTTGAAATACAGGCAACGCAGTCTACTGCTGAGGTCCCCACATCCAGTGCTCTGGTGTGCATTACTGCCCCATTTTACAGACGGGAAGGCTGGTGAAATTCCAGTGTGGCTGAGTCTCAGCCAGGAGCTCTCTGTTTTACACCTGCTGTCTGTTGTGTCCACTCCCCAGTCCTGCAGCCCTGTGCGCCGCGCCCCCAAAAGGCAAACAAGCACACACGCGTATTCAGCAGGCGCCACCCAGGACACCTCTGGGGACAGGACGGCAGATGTGCAGGCAGTGCTGTGCAGAGCCGAGCACTCCTCTGGACTGCCTGGAGATGATTCAGGGCCATCCCTGCAGTTCCCAGAGGAGATCCGGCTACTTAAACCTGACAGGGGGTTTGAGGAATTGCTGCTCTATTTTTACACATTTATTTCTTTGCATTTCCAACAAGCAGGGACAGCTCACCTTCAGAACCACCTTGGGAAACAGAGAAATGGTAATTTCCATAAAAACCTTCTCTAGGGAAGAAGCTGGAGTCATCCTCTGCCCCTGCCCCTGCACAGCCAAGGGTCACTGACGGGTAGTCCCCGGGCAAAACCAGACTATCAGAGGTATCTGTTAGGGTCACGTGGTATTTTTTAATTGTCTTATTTGTTTGAAAGTATTTAAAAATTAGAAGTTTCATATTAAAGTCTAGAATAACCAACCAGTGAGGAATTGGGGATAGGGTCACTGTGGGCAACACTGGGCTGTGGAGTGACAGCCACGCCAGAATACAGGACAGACCTGACCTACTGCCCTTCCTGCCCTCCCGGTTGTCAAAGGCATCACGGTGTGTGCCCCAGACCCTACTCCAGGGAGCCGCTGTGTCCAGAGTTGGCTATGGCACATCCTCTAGCTGCTTTTGCTAAGCAACCGTTTCTCACGATGTTGTATACTGCAAGTGCCTTAACAGTAGCAGTGTGTTCTGAAGAGGCATAAGAAATGCATTCCACTGTGTTCATCCTGGATGTCTCCTCTGCTTCCCCACAATGGGTTTCATCCTGAAGTTCAGGTGATGCAGCAACCCCAACCACACCCTGATCCGAAATGGCCTGTACCTGAAGCTGAGCCTGCTGTGGGGAGCGCGGACCGGTGGCCGCCTCCTGGCCTAGCAGGTCCAAAGCCTGTGCACATGTGGGTCCTGTAGGTTTTAGGCTCTTTGTCATCTCCCTGCCACCCCCAGGCGCCCTTGCAGGCTTGTAGCTAGCCCCTGGGTGATAACGAGGTTGCCCAGCCCCTTGCTCCATCCCTCACTACTGGCCTGGATACCTAGCTGTCATCTCTGCCCCTCTCCTGCTGAGAAGGGAGGACAGAGCTAGCCTCAGCCCTGCTGCCCTGTGCGCAGCCTCTTCCACTGCTAGTTCCCCAGGGAGGCTGATCTAGAGGACCTTGGCAAGTTGAGGCTCCCCTAAAGGGAGGCATATGTGGCAGAATCCTATCTTTTCAGTGGTTAACCACAAGGGATTTCATTTTGCTACTCCCTGTGCTGGAGACCCTCTGGCCAAAGCGCGGGGCTCTTTCTGCCCCTGTCACAGACAAAATGACACAGCAGGGAGCTTCCAAGGGCTGCCCCCAGTTTTAGAGTCTCTAAGGGGAACAAACAGGATCCCTCAAAGAGTTAATCAACACACCGAGAAATGGGTGGGAGGAGGGAAGCAGAGTCCCCTGGCCTCCAGAGGAATGGGCCAGTCATAGCCATTGAAGCACAGGGCAACACCTGCACCCCCAAATCAGGGGGCATGCACAGCCCTTCACAGTGACAAAGCCCTACCCCCCAGTAGTCATCCCATCCCCACAGTAGGAGGACATCCTTATTACTGTTCCCATTTTGGCATCAAGGAACCTCACGAGTGCAAAGATTACGTGACTGAGACCAACCACACCACAGAAAGGAGGACCTGGGACCCAAGCTTAGGCCCAGGACCCAATGTTGCTAACATGCCCCAAGGGGCTCCTGAACGTCACCAGCACTGACAGTGGTTTGGGGAAAACCTAACTTGATAGAAACAAGCACATTTAACCTGGAGAAGAGGAACTGGGGGACATGGGCGGGGGTGGAGGGGGGAGGCTTGAGTTTGCATATTTTGGGAGCATGGTGTGGGAGGGACTGGTTCTATAGGTTCAAGGGCGCCTGGGTGTTTGTCGTCCCTGTACAAACCCCTTTCCCAGGACTTTGCTGGGCTAGTCTTTTGGCCTAGGATGCCCTTTCTACTCCTGCCCAAATCTAGCTCCCTACTACTAAGGCTGGCAGGAGTCCCTCAAAACACCCAGAGGCAGGCCCTTGGTACCAGAGCCCTGCTGCCACCCACACTGGGCTCAGGGATGTCTCTGGTCCCCCCCCCTGCTTCCCCCACAGAGTCCACTGCACACCTTTCTTTGGGGGAGGGGGCCAAGAGCTTTTAGAAGCCACCGTACAGTGACAGAGAAGGCTGCCTTCCCCTCATTTCTCACTGGCTCTGCTCTCACTCATCCTTCAGGTGTTGGCTGAAATGTCACTTCCTCTGGGGCACTTGCCTTATTTCATCCTAAATTAAAATAGGCTCGCTCTGCCCCCAATCTCCCTGCCAGCATGCTGGTTTCTTCCTGCATAGAATGCACTATCAGTTGCTGTTCTGATCTCACTTGTGAATCTGCTTGGTCATTAAATGCCTCTCCACCTCAGATGGAGGCCCCTGCAGAAGACAGGGTCATGGGATGCGGTGTGCCTCCATTTCCCCAATGTTCCAAAGGTAACCACAGGGTTGGGAGGGGTAGAATCCAGAGAAGAACGGCAATGGGGGGGGGGGGGCACAGGCCTCCGCAGAAGGAGATGGGGAACTGGGAGGTGAGCTGGAAGGAGAGGCAGGTGCATCGGGGTCAGGAAGGCAGGGGACAGCATAAGCAAAGGTGAGGGAACAGCACGGAACACAGGCTGCCATAAGTACGGCTTACTTTACTCACTCAAAGGGTAAGTGAAACAAAATGAGTAGGAAGAGTTCAAGCAAATGGGGTAAATAGAGAGATGCTGTGTAATTGACAAAAGGAAACCAGCCACAACATTTTATGAGGTAAAATATCATCCAAGTCATTAAAAGAACACATCAATAAACAGTTCACCAAGAAGATACTAAAAAATATAAAATTTTATGCAGCTAACAGAGCTTCAACTTGAATGAAGGAGAAACAGAAAAAGTCACAGTTCTAGGTGCATTTTAATACACTTATTCCAGAGAACAACGTATGAGTTAGATCAAACATTGGATGGGGATATAGAGCATCTGAATTATTAAGACCACCTAGTAGCCAACAACCAGAAAATGTGCTCTTTTCAAGCACAAATGGAACAATATCCAAATCTGAGTATATATTAGGACAAAAAGAAAACACAAGGTCTGTCCACAGTCACTAACAATGAGACAGTATCAGAGAGAGCAGTAAGCAGGAAGGCCTCAGGCCCTGACCACGGGAAAGCAAAAGCACAGTGCTTCTAAGTATAGGCCAGGTACAAAACACAAATGCTAATCACTGACTCAAGCTCAAAACCTGAATAAAAAAGAAAATTGAGGGCCTCTCTGGTGGTGCAAGGGGTTAAGATGCAACCTATGAAGCTCTCTGCAGCCACTGTAGCATGAGTTCGATCCCTGGCCAGGGAGCTACCCACATGGCGTAGCAGACTTCTCCTGACTCGCCCGCTGCTCCCCTCAGCAGTGTATTTCAGTAGATCTGCCTGTTCTGCATCCCACTGTGTCCCTGGTGACTCCTCTCACTCCCCACACCTCTGGCCTGTACCCCAGTTCTTGTATGCATAAATCAATCTTTTTTTTTTAAAAATGAAAAAGTAAAGAAAAGCCAAGAAGGTTTTACAGAAGAGTTTTACTAAACTTACAAGTAATACTTCTTGCCTTATGTAGACTATATATGTGAAGCACAATGCTTTTTTTGTACATGGCAATAACCAGCTAGAAAATAGAATGGAAAGAAGGATTTATAAATATGCAGTATTAACATACCCCACAATACACCTAGGAATAAACAAAAATAAGGGATGTATAAAGACCACACACACAGAGTAAAGTCTAAAACATTCCAGAAATACAAAACGCCTCAGTAAATGGAGACATAATAAAAAGATCCTAGATTGGAAGTTGATTTTATTCAAAATCAACCTACAAATTTAACACAATCTCTATCAAAGTTGTTAAAAATCCACCAAAATAATTCCAAAATTCAACTGGGAGACTACATATAAGAGAATTT